GACTGGGGTGGTTAATGGCTGTGGGTATTCGACCCCTTATGGCTCAGCTACTGTGGCTTGTTTTGTAGGTATATTTACCTAACACTCCCTAAACTTGTAATCACTAACAGTCACTCTGTTAAGCTTCTTCTGTAGGCTAATAAGGGAATTTATGAATAGGAGAATCTTAGTCCCATGTGCTGCTGACTATTTATTAGATAGTGGTACCTGCAGGTCAACAGGTGGAAGTAGTTTACATGGGTCCCAATCCTCTCATTAAAGTCAATGGCAAGATGGTCATGAAGCCATTTAATGGCCCTCAATTTGCACCTACTTTAATTCTTGTCTAGCCCAAATTTCATTGGGAAGATGAAATGAATGTAGTGAATTAATATTATCAGTGCAGAAATATCAGTGTTATTTTTAACATGCCAGGCAGTTCTAAATAGACAACAGGAACTGCTCTGTAGAACCTGCCTAGAGGCAAAGTAGAAGTTTCGAAACCTGGGTACAGGTCTGGTAGTGGTATCCCTTATGACATAGCCTTTTGCTGATTCACAGCTGAACTGATACCATCAGATAACTAAGTGAACATTGGCCTATCAATCCTGAACTGCAACACGTCTGGTTCTTCCAAGTTACTGACAGCCACCATTTGTTCAGCCAGGCATGCAAATTATACTTGTGCAATTTTCATGAGCTGCTAAGAAAGCTCAACATTGCTAGACTCCAAACATTGCTAAAAATCTTGGCAGTTGTGACATTTCACACATTGCGAAGGGGACAAATTCAAATTCAAAGTTTTACTTCCCATTACTCATTTACATTTCAAACCTAAATTTCAGATAAAAATGAGCTCGCTACCTACTGATCAGCAAGTCATTTTCTTCTATTGAGAATTATGTTGGTTGCATAATTAAAGGTAGACTCAAGGTGGCTTAATCATTCTAGGAAAAGCCACACAAAATAGACGTGTCCAATATAATAGGCTTCAACCTTTTCCCAAGAGCCTCCCTTGGGCTAGTACTTTTCTGGGTTAAGTGCCAGTTTAGCTGTTTGAATTAAGGTAGTACTTTGATTGTCCTGTCATGAATCGGGGCCTCTTTGTGCTGGGCACTGTACAAAAACGTTTATATCCCCTGAATATTTTAAAATCCAAGTAGACTTCAATAGATTACTTATAATTAAAAATCAAGTCCATGCCATAAAGGACAACAAATATAATTAGGGGTATGGAGCAGCTTCCATATGATGAGAAATTAATAAGAATCGAACTATTCAAGATGGGAAAAGAGTAACTAAGGAATATGCTAGAGGTCTATAAAATCATGATGGGTATAGAGAAAGTAAATAAAGTGTTATTTACTCCTCATAATGCAACCAAAGGTCACCCAATGAAATTAATAGGCAGTATGTTTAAAACAAATGAAAAAATAGATCTTCATATAGCTTTGCCAGAGGGTGTTGTCAAAGTCAAGATTATAACATGGGTTAAAAAAGAACTAGATAAGTTTATATAGAATCAGTCCATCAAAGGCTATTAGCCAGGATGGACAAGAATGGTGTCCCTTGCCTCTGTTTGCAGGAAGCTGGGAATGGGTGACAGGGGAGGGGTTATTAGATGGTTACCTGTTCTGTTCATTCCCTCTGAAGTATGTGGCATTGGCCCCTGTCAGAAGACTGAATATTGGGCTAGATGGACCTTTGGGGTCAGATCCAGTATGGCTATTCTAGTGTGATTCGTTTCAGTTGCCACCACTGCACTTATGGTCGTCTTACCTTCAAAAATATCCAATTTCACCGTCTTTACTTCCTTCTCTGCTCCCTTTAATTTTAATTTAAGCTCTCATCACACATTCATTGCCAATTCAAACCTTAATCAGCGGTGTTCCCATTGCATTTTCAGACACTGGTCATTTAAAAAGTATTATAAAAGTGGAAGATGTCCTCAAGTGATGAAACTGTGCAGTCTGCTGATAAAGACATTAAACATTTATTATAGGATAATTAAATCCCGTTTATCTTGACACAAATTTCAATGAAAAAAACAAAAGTGTGTTAAAACTACAGAATTTTTGCCAAGGGGAAATGGAGTTAATATGGGAAGAGGCAATTATAGTGCCTTCATCAAACATGTCTCAGAAGCCAAAAGACACTGCCAATATCAGTTAGATTTCAGCAATTTGAAAACCCTTACACTATCCTCATGCAAGAAGGAAGCTGTTGATATACACTTTCATGCACAAAAGTCTCAACTTTGCATACATCCCTGTATCATACTGTATCGACGAGTTCCATCTGCTTGACATTTCATTGTGAACAGAGGCAGCTAACAGGGAGTTTCGTGAGACAGTTTAGAAGGGGAATGGAAAGGGGGCTAGGTACACTAAACTAAAACCAAAACTACCTGATTTAAATAAAAACCCTGTCAATAACCTCGGAAGCTGTAGGAGAGAAGGCAGGCAGAAGCCCAGCAGCAGAGTGGAGGTTATCCTGTTTATTGCACACAATGTAGCATGTATGATTACCTGCCCTGTGGACAGGTGACGTGTATGCATTCAGTGCAAGGAACTCCTGGCCCTCAGAGACTGCGTACAGGCTTTGGAGGGCAGAGTGGCTGAATTGGAGGAGCTAAGGAAGGCAGAGAAGTACACAGATGAGGCTTTCCGGGACACTGTAGAACTGTTCTTACTCCAGTCAGATAACAGCAGAGGGGCTAAGGAGGATGAAAGGCTGAGGAAAGGAGAACAGTCAACTGGAGCAGAGGGAAGTGATCCCATAGTTGGGACCCTTCTTCCAGAGGATGATATGGTATCCTCTCGCACTGAGGATACATCTCTGGGGAAGGGAACTCGTAATTAGGAAAAGGCAGGTGTTAGTAATGGGGTATTTGATCATTAGAAACACAGATAGCTGGGTTTGTGATGACCGGGAGAAACATCTGGTGACTTGCCTGCCTGGTGCAAAGGTTGCAGAGCTTTTGAGATATCTAGATAGACTTATGTGTAGTGCTGGGGAGGAGCCAGTGGTCGTTGTACATGAACGTAACAATGACATAGGCAAGGGTAGGATAGAGGTTCTGGAGGCCAAATGTAGGCTGCGAGAAAAGAGATTGAAGACAGGGCCTCTACGGTAGCATTCTCCGAAATGCTTCAGTTCCACATGTCAGGCCTGGTAGGCAGGCAGAACTATAGAGTCTCAATGCGTGGATGAGACGATGGTGTCGAGAGGAGGGGTTTAGATTTATTAGGAACTGGGGAAACTTTTGGGATAGAAGAGCCTATACAGGAAGGATGGGCTCCACCTAAACCAAAATGGAACCAGACTGCTGGCACTTAACATTAAAAAGGTTGTAGAGCAGTTTTTAAAACTAAGGGATGGAGCAAAAGCCGACAGGTCAGAGGAGCACATGAATCGGACAGAGACATCTCTTAGAGAATCTCTATTAATAGATGCTCTCCTATGTTCTAATCAAGAGGAGAGGATGGAAGATGAAGAAGTATGGATCAGATCAGATGAGAAACAATCAAATGAAAAAGCCTAACATCAGAAAATGGCAGACAGATAAAAAGTGACAAATTTTTAAAGTATTTATACACAAATGCTAGAAGTCTAAATAATAAGATGGGTGAATTAGAGTGCCTTGTCTTAAAGGAGGGTATTGATATAATAAGCATCACAAAAACTTGGTGGAATGACAATCAATGGGACACAGTCATACCAGAGTACAAAATATATCGGAAGGACAGAACAGGTCATGTAGGTGGAAGAGTGGCACTATACGTGAAAGAAAACGTGGAATCAAATGAAGTAAAAATCTTAAATGAGCCTAAATGTTCCATAGAATCTCTATGGATAGTAATTCCACGGTCCAATAATAAGAATATAGCAGTAAGGATATATTATCAACCACCTGATCAGGACAGTGATAGTGACTATGAAATGCTAAGGGAAATAAGAGAGGCTATCAAAATAAAAAAACTCAATAATAGTGGAGGATTTCAACTATCCCCATATTGACTGGGTACATGTCACCTCAGGACGAGATGTAGAGATAGAATTTCTTGATACCGTTAATGACTGCTTCTTGGAGCAGTTGGTTCTGGAACCCACAAGGGGAGAGGCTAATCTTGATTTAATCCTAAATGGAGCAGAGGATCTGGTTCAAGAGGTAAATATAACTGGACGTCTTGGAAATACTGACCATAATGTAATAAAATGCAACATTCCTGTGATGGGAAAAACACCTCCACAGCTCAACACTCTGGCATTTAATTTCAGGAAGGGAAACTACACAAATATGAGAATGCTAGCTAAACAGAAATTAGAAGGCACAGCGACAAAAGTAAAATCCTTGCAAGCTGCATGGAAACATTTCAAAGACACCATAATAAAGGCCCAACTTAAATGTATGCCATAAATTAAAAAACAAAGTAAGAGAACCAAAACAGTGCCACAATGGCTCAACCACCAAGTAAAAGAGGCAGTGGAAAAAGCAGAAGTCAAATCCTACTGAGGAAAATAGAAAGGAGCATAAACTCTTTCAAAGTGTAAAAATATAAAAAAAAAGCCAAAAACCCAGCATTGGAAAAAGTTCAGAAAAGGGAAACAAAAATTATTAGGGGTTTGGAACGGGTCCCATATGAAGACAGATTAAAAAGACTTGGACTTTTCAACTTAGAGGAGACTAAGGGGGGAATGTGATAGAAGTCTATAAAATCATGACTGATGTGGAAAAAGTAAATAAAGAAAAGTTATTTACTTATTCCCACAATATAAAGAACTAGGGGTCACCAAATGAAATTAATATGCAGCAGTTTTTTAAAAAAAAAGGAAGTTTTTCTTCACTTAGCGTACAATCAACCTGTGAAACTCCTTGCCAGTGGATGTTGTGAAGACTAGGGCTTTCAAAGACGATTTTATGAATTACTCTGTATATAGAAATAGACATTTATTCTTTTTTTCATAAATGGACATTAAATAATGCTGAAAGAAAAAAAATCAAGAGAGTCAAGACAGTGTCCTGGAATGAATATACTTTAATAAGGTTATTATGAGACAACAATAAATACATGCATACAAAGGCAGTACGTATCAGCAATGTTTCTTCAGAATGTTCATAATATAGTTGGATGTCAACTGGCAGATTTGTCAGAAGTGGCTGAACGAACACTAAATTTTACTAGTTGACAGCACCAGAGGAAAACAGGAAAGAAGTTGACACATTAGCAGCAGGAAATATTGCAACCAAGAACATTTGCTTTTATCAATTTAACATATATATATCCAACTATACTCAGGAAGGAAGGGGTTGCACCGTACAATCTGAAATGTTTAGCTTCGTGCCGTGGCTGTTGGAGGTTGTTCCGACTGTAACTGCTTCCCAAGATATTCCCTGAAATACACAAGATAAAAAAGTTTGTGAAAGATTCCCATGCAGAATATCTCAAGCCAAGTAAAGAAAGTTAAATCATACAACAACAGTGACTAGCGATATTGGATACCCAACCTGAGATCCCCTAATGGCCAGCGCTTCATTTTTAAAGGGTGGTTGCTCAGCAATTTTTGAAGCTAAGGCAAAAGGTTTCCATTTGAGCATCCCCGCCACCACCACACCCAAAAAGTAATCCAAAGTCATTAGTCACTTTTGGCACTGCACAGCATGTTGACTAGTGTTTTCGCTCATCCATAACTGCTGTAATTTTGCACACTGCTGAGGGTCACATATGCTGCTGGTAAATTGTTTAAAAGATTATTCATCCTACTATGCACACATGTAATTCCTGGTAATGTTAATATGCACACCCACTGATAGTATATGTTTCTCAGTTTGCACGACCTCATACAAATTACAGGTGGAAAATTTAATCAGGTTCGCTCGCTACCAGGACTCTCTTGTATTAATGGTGCTTCCTTCAGGCCAATGTAAAAATATATATTAACTCCCCCCTCCTTGCCCCCATTTTAAACATACCAGACCTATCAAAACCTGGAACTAAATTAACATCCAGAATCTTCAGTATTCCCAACATTTTTGAATCTTTGGTAGATTCCATCCATCACACAAATAATGAAAATTATTTGAAATTCCTCTATTAATCAGTTTTCTAAATAGTTTTCAGATCATCACTGCAATGTAGTGCCAATAAATGATACACAAATAGGAGTGCAAAGCATAAAAATGATCCCAAGGACCTAATCCTACAAGGCACTGCTGAATGCTTTCATGTCCAATTAGTTCTCAGGGGAAGTGGAGGGAACTCAGTACCACACAGATCAGAAAGGGGGTGGGAAGAGAAATTTTTAAAAGCAATCTGTAGCATGCTACTGACAATATGCTAGTACCATTTTTTCAATTCCTCAGTTGGAACAGGTGGTATCAAAAGACGTTAAGTAAAGGAGCCATTCCCCCATTATATCACAGTTACTACTAGAGGAGCAGAATAGCATAAATTGCTTAAACGAAGGCAGAAAGCCACCTTGGAAAAAGACATTAAACCAAGTTAATGTGACTTCAGATTGTAAGTTTACCTGCATTTTTCAGATCACCATTGGCAGCCCGTTTTATTACCTACCTCTCTGCCCTAACTTCAAGCGCTAAAGAAAAATGGTTTTCAAAAATCTTCAAAAACAAAGTTCAAAAGGAAACACGTCAGAAGCTTGCATTTTCAGTATTACATTACAACCTGTTAAATGTGAGTTTGAAAACCTTTACATAACTACCTTATAGTATGGATGTCCTGCAAAAGTACCACAAAAGTCTCCAAAAAGATGACCAGTGACCATCGTCCTCACCCCTGACTAAAGTTTTGTTGAATTCTGGCACCTTATTAGAGGAAGTGCTATTCAGTTTTACATGCCCCCATTTTCTATAGCACAGATAAATCTCAGCACCAATGCTGCATTCACTCATAACTAGGCCATTTAATTTGAAGATTGGGTGTGGGAAAATACTCCAAGTGTCCACAAAAGTAATTTTACACCTTGCACTTTGCTAGCAGTAAAAACATGATCTCACACAATTTGAATGCTTTAGAAATATAACACACAATATTACTTTCCTACATAGTCAGATGGTTACCAGTATGTATTAAATAAAAGCACCCACAACCTGAGCAAACAAATGTCAAATGTTGTCACAGGATCATAGTACCATAGTGCAAACAGATACCAGTCCTGAGACCTGCTAAGGATATGTGGCTCCTCTTCACAAGCTACCAAATGCTGCAATACAGGGAATATTAACCAGAGCTGTGGTACAGTGGTTTGTGCCATAAGGTCATGAAGGCTCTACAATGCCATGCTGTTGAATTAAGAGCAATCCCTCAATCCACAGGCACTTGGAATAAGAAAAGCAACTCATGCAGTCCCTGAAATGTAGGAGCATTGTATCTTCTCTGACCTACACTTCAGGTCTGGTTGGGATGGCATTTATAGGCATTTATATGATGGCACTGCAGCATGTTGGGAGATAAATAGCAACTGTGAGCAGTTCTGACTGCCTTCACAAACACCGGAAGAGATTAGTGTTATGCTTTACTAACTGCTGAAAGTTAGACAACTGGTTCTCTTTCAGACTCTTTAGTGAAACTCTTTCAAACCAACATTTTAGACATTCTGTTTAGAGAATAAGCAAATAGTCAACTACCCGATAAACCTAAGCTTATCAGGTAGTTGAGTCACTTCTCGATTAGTCACCTCCCCACCCCCTTGGGCCTCTGTATTAGAGGCAGCAAGGGTAGGGGGAGGGGAGCAGGAGCGAGTGCTGGGGGGAGCCAGCTTAAAAGCCAGTTTCTCCCCAGCACCGTCTCCACAGAGGAGCAGGGGAGGCAGAGGCGCAGCGGGAGAAGCATTGTTTTGATATCTTAACATTTATTTGGGAGCAGAAGACTTCCGCTGTAAGACTGATCATTTTCACACAGCTCAGGACCCGTGAGTGGGGATTGCTCTTCCGCCAAAAAAAGCAGAAGAGCAGACGCGTTCCCTGGACACGGCAAAGTTTTTCTGGGATACCAGAGATATCTCGGGAAAACCCCATAGTGTAGACGTAGCCTGAATGCCAATGCCTGAATGCCTTTAGAGATTATCAGTTAGATACTCTGGTATCAAGAGTTTGACACAGACATAATGGGCAGTTCATAACATTTTAGTAGACGGAAGTATTAAAGTAAAAGGCAGAGTGGTTTCCTTTGACAGACAGCACTGTGAAATGAAGCTATATTGATGTTTTTGAACTTAACTGTGTATCTAATAAGAAAATTCAATCCAAAATTTGATCTTGTCAGAGAAATAAGTGTATGAATTTGAAAAGTTGGTTCAATTGCAACTCTTCATCTTTTGAATAAATAAAAATGTCTGAATCCAGGAACATAAAACACAATACATAGCATGACTATCGACAAAAGATAAGTAACCACTAGGTGAGCTTTTAAAAGGTAAGTAATCGGAAAAGAACAACAGGAAGCACATTTTTAAAGTTATTACTGGATATACATCAGTTCATTTGACTCATCCTACTAATCTAAACTTGTTTCTAGTTACTATGAGAGACTGATTTTCTTAAATGTACTCAAAAATATAACATATTGTGGGTGTATCAGTGGTTCTAACTACATAGAACAGTCTCTAGGGGAGTGGGGGGGAAATCTATGGTAGAGAATGAATCTCCAGAATGTTCTGAACAACAGTCATCAACTGCTGGAAAGTAAATTTAGGAAAACAGAGTTTAGTAAAGCAGGGGGAAAACCACAAACTCAGGTCAACTGCAGCTACTCATGACATGCGTCTGACGAAGTGGGTCTTTGCCCACGAAAGCTTATGCTCCTACACTTCAGTTAGTCTATAAGGTGCCACAGGACTCCTCGTCGCTTTTGCAGCTACTCATGTCATCTCCAATGCCTTTTTTTGGCCATGAGAATCGGTCTGCACTATACACTTAGAAGCTAGCCCATTGCATATGCATCTAATAGCATACGCTGTGATTTACAAAGTCAGGCACTGCTGTTGTTAAATGGGGATGAACTGAAAAAGAAAGACATCTTTGCTTAAGCCTTAGGACTGCAAGGAAGAATGATCCAGTGGTTAGGACACAAGTCTGCCAGTTGACAGATCCAAGTTCCTTTCCATGCTCTGCCAAGCATATGACTGTGGACAAGTCTCTCAGGATGTGTCTATATTGAATATATATCCACATTATAATTGGGAGCTGTGACTGCAGAACAAGGATACATTCAAACTAGCTTTGATACAATAGCAATGATGTTGCACCAGCACAGGAGGCTGCATATGCTAGTCCTGCCCACCCAATACCATGGGTACATACTCAAGTGACTGCCACTCAGCTTGTTTCTCTTACTCAAGCTAGCATCTGCAATCACACGTCCTGACCGCAGTGTAGACTTATCCTTATTAATCTGTGCCTCGATTCCCTGAGTCACCTCAGAGTTAGTTGCAAGGAAAAATACATTGAGATGCTCAGATACTACAATAATGGGAGCCATTTGAGTGACTAACAAATAAAAATGGCAGTGAATGTTTGCAACAGGAACAAAACTAGAATGCATTTCAGTTAGAGAGCATATCCTAAAAGACACAAAGCTGCAGATGAGCCAGGCCTGAATGACAAAACATCAAGCAAGACTGAATTGTTAATCTTAACACTACTTATAGCATTAGGTACCTTTGCAGGAAACAAAAATATCAAAGAAACAGGACATCTCACACCATATTTTATGTATGCAAGAAGAACATAGTAGTGGATCAAAAGACAGGACTATGCAGCACTTTGAAGACTAACAAGATGGTTTATTAGGTGATGAGCTTTTGTCACCTAATAAACCATCTTGATAGTCTTTAAAGTGCTGCATAGTCCTGTCTTTTGTTTAAGCAAGCCCAGACTAACATGGCTACATCTCTATTACTATAGTAGTGGATGTCTCTTTAAATGGGATGCATGCCACAGCAAAGGGGATACAACTCTAGGTTAAAATTTACTTGTTTAAATGCACGTTAAATATCTCCTTGGCTGACCCCAGTATCACTTAACAGGCAATCTATAGATTAATACTTAGTGATCTAAAAAGTCATCAGTAGTACAGACTGTGTTCTTTATCACTTTGTAACATGAACAATTTTGAGTTCAGCATGCAGATTGCTTTTTATAACATTTTAATACAAGCTATTAAGTACCCAGTAGGAAACCTCACTTTTCAGGACTAATTTTCCTTCTAGGATACATTGTCTAAAAAGCCTTTTTTCACCAAATATGTTTTATGACACTTAAAATTAGATGTTCCACAAAAACATTTTCCACATACTAGGTTTTGATTTAACCCAGTGTTTCACAACCAGGGTTCCGCGGACCATCATCAGGGGTTCCATGAGAAATTGCAGAAT